ATTACTACACCACTCATCACTGTTGTATGCTTCAAATCACAACCCCCTTGTGCATCTGAAGCATGCATTTTACTCACGCACCAGTAGAGCACAGTTTTTATCCAATTTGACAGCAAGACAGTGTTTTTAACATTATATTTTAACTGTAGAAAAGCACTTGTGCCTGTTTCTACTACAGCTGCAGCTTTGCCCCTCGCTTTGCTCCTACACCATCGCTGTCATCCCGATTCCTTGGAAACCTACTTTGCCACTGCTTTCAACCCACTGTAGTGGGATATATCCTATTGAACACCTTAAGTGGCACTGGCGCACGTACCCAAGCCCACTTCACTCTGACACAGCTTACGTAGCTCTGTTCAGGTTGCAGCATTACCAAACCAAACCGTGCTTTTAACACTCAGCGTTCACCTTTATTTAGACAAACAAGCACCCAACAACCGGCACCACGTTCTGCGGGCGGGCTCGGCGGACACCTCCCAGCGCTGCCCAGAGAGCCCGGGCTGACGGAAGAGCTCGTCCCGGTAAAAGGCCGAGCAGCGGCGCACGGTGGAGGGAAGCTCCGGGAGGGCTCCCATAGGCGCTGAGCGCTCGGCTCCTTCCCCGGTCACCACAGGGGCTGCTCCGGAAGGAAGCGGGAACAGCTCCTCCTCGAACGCCCGCCGGCCCCGGCAGCTCGCCCCCTTCTCTTCCCTCCACCCACCGCCCTCCCGCGGCCCCAAGGCCCGCCCCGGCAGAGGCAGGGCCCCGCTCGGTGCGGCGGGGCCGCACAGGCCGGGTGTCGGAGCAGGAAGGGGGGGGTAAGGGGTGGGCCGAGGCCGAGGCCGCGGCACGGGTCCCGGTACCTCGCTGTAGAAGGTGAGGAACGCCTCCTCCGCGGCGCCGCCCGCCCCGGGCTCCCCCGCCGCCGCCGCCATTGCCGCCACCACCACGTGACGCGACGCAACGCGACCGCACGTGACTACGGCGAGGGAAGAGGCGAGAGGCCCTCGGCACGTGACCGCGGCGCAGCGCTATTAGCGGCAGGCTCCGCTCTCCTCGCTCCCCGCCCCCGGTGCCTCCTGAACGGACGGAGCGGAGCGGCCCGGTCCGGGGTGGGGTGGGGGGGGAGCCGCCGCTTCCCGGCCGCGTTCCGTGCGCTCCGCCCCGGCCAGCAGCACCGCAGCCGGGAGGTACGAGGAGGCGGAGGCGGTGTCTGCGCAGGCGCGCGCCGTGACGCAGCGGCGGGGGGGCGGGTCCCGTCCGCGCGGCGCTCCAAGGGCAGCGGGCGATGGCGGCGGCGGCAGCGGCGCGGGGCGGCCTGCGCGGGGCCCTGGTGCTGCAGCAGCAGCGCTGGAGCTCGGGCTCGGGCGCTGACCAGGTGGGGGAGCGGCGGACGGGGCGGGGAGGGCTCCCAGTGCCCCCGGTGCGCCCCTCCCCGCCGTGCCCCGCTCACCGCCTCTCTCCCCGCAGCTGGGTGAGCTGGGCAAAGGCGCCGGGAAGGGCGGCGGCGGCGGCGGCGCCATCCGTGAGGCCGGCGGGGCCTTCGGGAAGAAGCAGGCGGCGGAGGAGGAGCGGTACTTCAGGTGAGCGGAGCTCCGGGCCTCGGCCGCAGCCACCGCCGGGTGCGGGTGCTGCAGCGTGGGCCGCCCTTTCCTTGCAGGGAGAAAGAGAGGGAGCAGATCTCTGCCCTGCGGAAGCACCATGAGGAGGAGATTGATCACCACCAGAAAGAGATAGAGCGGCTGCAGAAAGAAATCGAGCGCCATAAGCATAAGATCAAGGAGCTTAAGCACGATAACTGAGCCGACACTGAATGTACACGGCCAATGCTGATTGTGGTGTAAAGCAGCGTTGAAGACTGTATGTATGCTTTGGCCAACATAATCCAAATTACTCCAGTTATACTGTGGCCTGCAACTATGTCAAATAAACTGCTCAGTCTCTTCACTGTTCAGTAACTGCTTAGAAATAATCCACTGTCTTGGTGTTAAGTGTTATTGCAAAGTAATGCTGTAGTCCTAGGCAGGCAGTCCTGGACAGAACTGCCGTGCTTTCGTTAGTTACAGCAAAGGAGTCACCGCTTACCCTTGGTGTAATAACTTTACAGGTAAAGCTGTAAGAAAAGGTGGGGGAAATGGTACCTGTGTAGAGACCCCTTCACAAAGGAGTTGTGTTGTCTCAAGGAAGCTGTCACTGGGTGTAAAGGGGAGGTGACTGCACTAAACTTGCAGGGTGTAAGGTTCTTTTGTTATGCTTAGCATTCAGTGTCATAAACCGGGAGGGGAACTTAACCATTCTGAGCTCCAGTGATTTCACATGTGGTGGTGTGGATTCCTGAGCAAGACAGATGAAATCCTGACTGCCACTTGAAGGTTCCTTTTTTTGGAGGTAGTCACCTGGTGGTGGGGTTTTTCTGTCCAGTTCTCGATGTTCCTTTTGTAAGTCCCTTTCCAAAGGATGCATTAAGATTAACGTTCATAGAATCAGTCACAGACTGGTTTGGGCTGGAAGGGACCTTAAACTGCATCCAGTTCCAACCGCCTGCCATGGGCAGGGACACCTTCCACTAGAGCAGCTTGCTCCAAGCCCCTGTGTCCAACCTGGCCTTGAACACTGCCAGGGATGGGGCAGCCACAGCTTCTCTGGGCACCCTGGGCCAGCGCCTCAGCGCCCTCATAGAGAAGAGCATCTGCCTAAGAGCTCATCTCAATCTCCCCTCTGGCAGGTTATGTAAATTCAGTCACTTTTGTGATTTTAATGTAAGAAATCTATCCTGAAACATATAGTGGATAGCTACTGGAACGTGTGTGTGGCCTTACTGCACCAAGACTGACAAGAAGGGGATTTTGTGTAACAAGAATGGGCGGGTGAGAAAGCAGCCTCCTGGTCCAGCCCTGCACTGGCGCATCCACAAGTGCCTGAACAGGTTTAGTTCCTCCCACTGGTAAATCCACCTCTTGTGAAGTGCTACAGTGGAGCTGGATGGAGTTGAGTGACTGAAGGGCCCTGTTTGAACAGAGCCTTTGATGCAGAAAGTGTTGCAGTGAGTGGCTGGTACCTGGTACAACCCCAACCAGCTGCTCCTCTTGGGCTGCTCTCACTGAGGAACATTGCAGGTTGTGGTACATCTCATCTGCAGAGTAACTGATGGCACCAGTGACAAGTCCATGCCACGTCATCTGCATGATCAGGCAATTCTGGAGCAGAGCAACCAAAATCTGAAGCTTGAAACTGGTAAGGCTGCAAGGATGGTGCTTTACTCAGAGAAGAGGCCATAGAGGGCTTATTGTTCTGGGTCTCCTCGATTGCTCTGGAATGGCTGATGGCAGGAATAGCCACCCCTCCATCCCACAGGCACAGGGGACACAAAGGAAGGGATTCTTCTCTCCTCCCTGCCAGCCCTAGTGCATCCTGGTCATTCATTGTTGCTCAGGGTTGGACTGACCCTGTTCACAACACCCAAACCCTCAACAGTCACCAACAGCCCAAATTCATGAAGAAAAAGCTTCATTTCTTGGAGTGGCATTTATGTTTCAATGAGATGCACATCTGTCCTTACCCCTGGACCCTCTGTCCATATCTTCGGCACATAGATCATGGCCAATGCAGCAGCAGGAAAAATGCATTTATTTTCAGCTAAACCCAAGCTTGTGATTATTGCTGCAGTAAACACAAGCATCTGTCCCAGGTGCTTAGTTTCTGCTGTGTGCTATGCAAATAGAGGGTAGTTTTAGGCCAGGCATTGGGCAGAAGTTCTCCCCTATGAGGGTGCTGAGGCCCTGGCCCAGGGTGCCCAGAGAAGCTGTGGCTGCCCCATCCCTGGCAGTGCTCAAGGCCAGGTTGGACACAGGGGCTTGGAGCAAGCTGCTCTAGTGGAAGGTGTCCCTGCCCGTGGCAGGGGCTGGAACAACGTCAGTTCCAGGGGACACTGCCAGGGATGGGGCTGCCACAGCCCCTCTGGAACAATTCCACCTCCTTCACACTAGGTTACACTCCGCATCCAGCAAAGAAGAGCCGTCGCTACTGCCAAACCCACGGAAGGAAATCACAATCCACACGAGAAGCAGCACTGCTTCCACCGGGCAGGTCCAGCAAGAGAGAACACTCGGCCCCAGAGTGAGTTTGCCTCGGCTTCTGTATCAGAGCACTTCCATTTCCATCAGGCAGCGCACACAAAGTGTACCCACGCTCCACAGGAACAGGGATGGAAGCACATATCCTTGGTAAGCTGCAGAGCAAACATAGTCTTCGGGAGCGTCATTTCGTGGTTAAAAAGTAGAAAGCTGCAGCTTTTAGCTCTTCACCAGACCCAGGAGGGACCAATCCAGCCGCACGCAGACGCTGTTGGACACAGGGCTCCGGGATGCAGCCAGCCCAAACCCATTCGTTGGCTCTCACGTTATGCAGCGGCAAGACCAGGAGATGAAGGCAGCGCAGCCCCGCCGGTGCCAACAACCCGGTTTCCTCCACACGTGCGCAGCTGTGGCCGCCAGAGCCTGCCCGACCCACCCGGGCGCAGGGGCACCCGCACGGAGCCGCGGAGCACTCACACACCAGCAGCGATGGAGTGAGGGGCCTGAACCGCAGCTCTCGCCGTTCCCTCCAGCCCTAACCGAGACCGGCCTCGGCCGCCCCACGGCGGCTCCCCGGGAGAGGCCGGGCCCGCACCCCTGCACCGGCGGGTGGCTGCCGCGGACCGGGGGGAACCGGAGCCGGGTCAGGGCGCGTTGCTGCGGGCTCCGTCCCCGGCTCCGCCCGGCCGCAGAGGCGGTGCCCGCGCTCGCTCCGCACGGCAGAGGCGGGGCGGAGGCGGCCCCTGCGCGCTCCTCTCGCTCCCTTTGTTCAGGGCCCCGCGGGCGGCGCTGCCCCTTTAAATCCCCCCAGCCCCGGCCCTACCGGCGCGCCGGGTTGAAGGAGCTGCGCGATTGGTTACGGAGCCTCCCGCTCATTGGTCTCCGGGAGGATCCGCGCGTCCCGCCTCCGCAGTCCCATTGGCTCCTCCGGGTGCTCGTCCAGGGCGTGAGCTGCTGAGTGGGTGAAGCAGTGGTCCCTGGAAACAGTTCCGGGAAACCCCGCGTGTTGCCGGGGTCGCGCCGCCGTCCATGAGGAGAAGGAGGAGCGCGCGCCATTTGCCGTCGCTGCTTGGGCCCGAGCTGCGCCGCGCAGGCCCCGCTCCGGTGAGTCCCCGGGGGGCGCCGGGGCCGCCGGGGGGCCGCCCCGCGCCGAGTGCGGAGCTCCGCGGCCGGGGACGAGGGCTCCCGCCTAGGCCCCCACGGCGGGGCGGGCAGCCGCGGGCCCCGGGTAGGCCCGGCGCTGGCGGAGGCGGGCCCGGGGCGCTGGCGCCGAGGAGGAGAGCGGGGCGGGCGCGTTCCCGGGGGCCGGGCGCGGCGTGTTCGCTCCGCAGGCCGGGGCGGGCGGGCCGGCCGCGGCGGGAGTTGGCGCCGGGGAGCGGCCCGGGGGCGGGCCCTGCGGCCTGGCGCGGGGAGGGCGGTGCGGCCGCGGGCCGAGGATGGTCCCGCTCCGCTCCGCTCCGCCCCGCCGTGCGGGTTAGGTTTGCGTGCGGCGGGCAGTCGGGACGCGCTCCGCTCGCCGTGCCGCTGCGCCGGGAGTCGGGTCGGCTCCCGGTCCGCGCCCGGCGCTGCGGAGCGAGGGTGCGGTGACCGCTTGGGCAGCGGCGCCCTCGGGGGCTGAAGGAAGCTTTCAGCGGGAAGCGCGTCGGTGGTGCCGCGGTGAGGCAGTGCGCGGGGGGAGCCGGCTGCAGGGAGGCAGAGCTGCAGCGCCCGGCTCGCCGCCTCGGGTTCGCCTTCAGCACTTCTTCGGTCGGGAGAGTGTGATCCTTGTCAAGGGCTCCGGAGGGGCGATGCTCCAGGATTCCGTTGCGAAGGCGCTGTTTTTTCTTGGATGATATTTTACTAAATGCCTTTATCAGATCTTCAAAAGTTTTGCTAAAGTACGTCATTATTACTGTTATCTTGAAAATAAAGCTGTAGTTACTGGGTTGTAGCGGCTGTGTTAACCTGTCAGTGTGTGAATGGGGTTAATTCTGTACCTAAGATATGCTGGACTTGCTTGATTCCCTTTCCCCGTGTATCATACCGAGGGATCCCGCTGGCAGTTTGTGCTGCAAAGAATGTTAATGCTCATGAAGCTCTTCTTTCTTTTCTTCTTATTTTTCTTTCTTCAAGATTGCACTTTGTTTAACACTGAATTTTGACCTGGCTTGTAAAAGTAAAGGTAATCCATCCCCCCCGGTTCTGCATCTTGCAGTGTGTTATGTTTTTTCAACCTATGCAGACTGTCATGTTTGCAAACTAGCAGAGTCTGCTTGATATTTTCGTATCCTAGAAGCTATTTCCCAGGAGTGTTTAATATCCTTCCTTCTCGGGTTTACTGTCTAGATGGGAGCACTCTTGGAATAACGTTTGGGTCTCCCGCTAACACTCAACCGACTGATTTTGCCACAAAAAGCAGTACTCCTTTCTTGCTTAGGCAAAGACCTGGAAAATTCTTTGAGGATAAGTTAGACCAAAGCTTGTTTTTGTTGGAAGTGTTGTTCTGAGCTGGAGTGCTATCAAGGCTGTACCGTAGAACCCAAACACCGGGTGTGTGAATGGCCAAGGCCAGTTAGAAATGAGCACGTACGGATGTTATGGTTCAGGTTAGCAGCTGCTGATGCCATCAGTGTTGTATTTTGCTGGTGCTCTGTGCACTGTGCTAACCTGCAGTGATAAAGCAATCTCCCAGTGACCCTTGTGTAGATACTGAAGCATGGTTTCTCTATGGGCTGTGCTAGTCTCTTGCTTAGCGTCACGATGGAGGTTCTCAGAGTTTTTCATTCCATAAAGTTATGGAATGGGGAGGCCTCTTGGCTGAAGGGATGAGGATGCTATGTTGTAAAGAGTGTCTGCCACTGAAATGCAGGGATGGAAACCTAGCTGATGTGTGAGGCTCTTCAGGGTGTTACAACTTTGGAACAGTTAATCGTGTAATTTGTACTGATAAACAGTGTATCATAATCAAGCTATAAAAATGTACTTTCTGTGATTGAATAAGCTATGGCTATGATGCCTTCATGTAAAAAATAAAGGATGTGCCAGTAATGTTTGTGAAAAAGTGAGGCTTTAATAAATTTCCCATTCAGTCTTCTAATCGAGTTCTTCTCTTCCTCTCACTCGTGTTTCTTATCTTCCTGTTTTGACAAGAATCTTCTTGAAGTGTAAGGTGTAATTATAGAGGCTACATTTGTTTTCTTGTGGTTCATTCAAAACAAAACTCTCCCCCCAAAAACACTCCCCAACTTTCCCTCAGTGCTGTTTTTAATGTAGTATAACTTGAACGTTTGAAACATGACGTATAGAAGGCATAGTAACATAAGCAAGTTGAATGGCTTTGGTGCAGTGTTTTTACAGAGGAATTAGCTATACTTCCTGTGCAGCTGAGCAAGCCAAGTTGAAATCCTCCATGAAATCAAAAGTTAACTAACAGACGGGTGGAAACAACATTGATGTATAATCACTGGGAAGTTGGTTATGGTAGTTTGAGGTATTGCCCCTTTGCCAGCAATTGCCATTCCTGCTCAGATAAGCTGTTACTAAGCACATTTTGAGTTAACCAGACTGAATTTATAATTAATTGGAGTTATACTTAGATAGTCTGTGGGTGGCAACCTCTGTTAGAGGCATGGTATAAAATACAGGGACTAGTGACACTGCTGTTTAACCAGTGTTGGATAGAGGCCGAGATCAAGTTTCTGTTTTCAAGATGCCATTTGCTATCAGGCTTAGGTTTGTGATAATATTTTGTTTTCTAGGAAGAATACTATTTGAGCCATTTGAGTTATTAAACATGAAAAAGAAGGTTGCTTCTGGGTAATTTAGAAGCACCTGTAGTTTTAACACCTCCCACTTGTCATATGACTAAAGCTTCAAAAAGGAACTAGTCACTTTGCAAATTACTCCTTAGAGATGCAGGAGTTCAAGGTGAAAGATAGTGGCTGGCTAAAAACATGTTTTGTATCATGAAGTATTCACATGGCTGGCAACAACAGCATGAAGTTCAAAACAAGACAGCCCCCCCCCTGCTCCATGCACACAGTCCTGAGGTGGTGAAGCTCAGAAGCTTCTCAGGTATCTGGGGAAATTCTCTGTGCCTGTGTAAAGTTGCCCCCAGTGTGTCTTTATTGCTGCCGCTCACTTGGTAAGCACATTTTTGTGTACACGCTTTTAAATTCATCCATTTGTGCATGTTTTAAAAACATAAATATCCCACACATACTGTGGGATACATAATCCTTTACTTATAATCCATGCTTAAAACCTTTTCAGTTCAACAAGTCTCCCTCTTTCCTAGATACTTGAGTTTTAATTCACTTAAATGAAAACCTCTTGAGTGCATGTGGCCTGTCGTGGGCTGAGTCGCGTGGACATGCTACACATGCAAACAGATAACACTCTTTTCTTTAATATGCCTGTAGTATTTTTTTTTAGAGGAGAACCAGAAACGTTAATAAAATCATTGTGTGTTTTCCATTCTGATAAAATTCAGTTGAATCTTCCTGACAGCTACATGTAGTTGATGTTATCTAGAGGGCGAGCTAAGCAGTCTTCTACAGCTGTGACTGTCTCTGCTGAGCTCAGAGTGCAGATTCAGTATTGTAAGAGATGTCATTTTGCTTGTTGGTGTTCATTCAGGAAGAAGCAGCAGTCTAATCTCAGATTTCAGGCCAAGCTTGCAATCTGGTACTGTGGCTGTGAAAAGAAATACATTTCTTCTGGATGCTGCTGAGGCCTGAATATTTTGACGTCCACGTCAATTCAGAATTGTCCAGAGTAGATTTCTTTAAGAGTCTGTGTGACAGGAAGTAGCTAAAATTTGAGCACCCAAACTGCACTTCTCTGGCTGGTGAACATGCATTGCATTTGACTTTGAGGATACTAATTCTTAAGCTAGTGAATTAAGATGCTGAGACTTAATTTACATTGTCTACAAACCCGCTTATAAAAGGCATTTGACCAGCTGTGGTGCTGTGTAGTAATCTGCTACTTAGGGGTTAGATTTTGCTCCACACACTGGTGTGTGTTTGTGATGAAGGTAGAGATCTCGTGCCATTGGGCAGCAAATCTAGCCTGGCAGATGTTTGGGTTACTGAACTGCAGATGAAGGCTTTCTGCCTGGACACAGAAGAGCTGTCACCCTTCTGTTCAGCTACAGGCAACGCTGAAAGCAGTGCTGAGCTTTTAGGTATGTGACACTTGGAAGCCACTCTGGGGTCACAGAAAGAAATGTCTGAGAGCATCGCCATAAGCTGTTGATGTTTAGAAGGTACTTGGAATTGTTTCAAATCACTTTCCTGTATTTATGTATTGGCCTAGCCTCACAGTTCTTGGTGGGTTTTCTTTTGTGTGCAGAGAAGACAATGTATGTGTAAATAACTGATTTTACAAGGCAATAAAAAAGAGAACACAATGAACCCCCCTTTATAGATCTTTTTTTGTGTATATTGTCCTGTGCATTTTTGAGATGAGGCAATGGGAATGATACTGGCCCCAGAGCATTGTCAGTTTAAGGAAACATCCTCTGCCCTGTGCTGCTTCGATCTTGCAGAGGCTGGCTAGCGAGCAGACACGGGTTTTGGTTTCCATTATCTTTGTAACCTAAAGAAACTTCAGTTAGTGTTTGAGAGTTCAGTTGTGATGATGGATAAACATTACTGTAGTAGTGCTCTGCAGATGGCATTTTTTTTTCTTCAGTCATCAGGCTATAGTCATGGTTACTTCTAAGTAAACCGAATTGCCTAGAAAGCAGTTTCTCTTCATCAAATGATAGAACGTGTGTATATATGTTATGTGTATGTGCTGTGTAGCTAAGGAAAACTTTCCCTTACTAATTGCATAAAGAAGTGGTACCTGACAGAGAAGCAGTGTGAGGCTGCATTACATCTCTTTAAAATTGCCCTTCAAGTCAAGGCACATTTATTAAGATCATTATTTTTCTGTCTGAAGAAAAATGATTTTTTTTTTTTCCTTGCTCAAGCTTGCAAATCTTCATAGGATATCTTCCAGCAGCTCATGAGCTGTAGTCTAGAAGGGATGGGTATACGGGTGGCTGCTAGAGGTGCGGTTGTGTTTGGAGACTCGTTTTGCAGCATAGTAAATAGCTTGAGGCTTCAGCGTAAAAACCCCGACTGTTCTTGAATTGTCCTCATACCTGTATTCCAGTACTTAATTGCGTTGCTCCAACCATGCTGCATTTGTCTATCTGGTTATCATTTCGCTTCTGATTATTGACTTCTTCCCTATCTTTTAAAGCCTGAGGCTCATTTTGTTTCTAAAGCTAACAGCTCATCATCCTGATGTTCTCTGCTGGGTAGTTGAATTGTCTCTTGTCAGCCTTTTTATTTTGAGAGTACTGAGTATCAGTCGGCTGGCGAATTGAGAAATTGAAACTGGTTGTAATGAATTGGGCATAGCCCACTGGAATTGTCTGCGGAGATAGTTGTGCATTTTTCAGTGCACATACTTGGAATCAGTTTGTTGATTCTGAAAACAAGTCTTTGTATTGATACAAGAACTGAAGATGCTGCAGTCATGGCTTCCTTTTAAACCAATAAGTTACGTATTTTAAAAAAAGTAGCTGTGATTTGTAGAGCTCCTATTTCAGTAAAACTGAAAACATGGGAACACTTCAGTTGCAGTTTCGAATTGTAACGTGCGGTAGAGTGCAATTACTCTTTTTCTCTCCTTCCTGAGTCCTACCAGTGTTGTGGGGAAGTGTTGGGTTAGTCTTCTGCAGCATGCTGGGTTTGAAGGAAGACATGGCAACAAGCCAAGAAAGCAAAAACTAGCAAACAAGTATTGACATTTTTATCCATGAAGCTACCCTGCAGGGTTGTGTGTTCACTGCGTTTTGAACGATTGTTTTTGAAGTAGAGGAATGGGAAATGAAAATAGCACTAGTTCTTCTGGCTCTTGGTTGAAGGATGTTGTTCTCGTGTCCCCGTACATTCTAGCTGCGCTGGTAACCAGTAACTTACCGACAGTGAAGTTTAGACCTTGTTATGTACATGAAGTACATTTTTAAAGAAATCATGTCAATTCTTCCATGTACATTTTCCATAGTATTAAGGGTTTTACTTTCTTTTGAAACTTAGATCAGCTGCATCCAGAAAGTATTAAATAAACCTTTTGATACAGGTCATTTGCAGCATGTATACAAATTAGTTTAGATAAATCATGCATTGTCCTACAAACTAGTTATTTCTGGCTTATTGTAATATAGCTCCTGAATTTTTTCCAGCAGCATAATAAAATGGCTAATCAGGTGAATGGTAATGCGGTACAGTTAAAAGAAGAGGAAGAACCAATGGATACTTCCAGTGTAACTCACACAGAGCACTACAAGACACTGATAGAGGCAGGCCTCCCACAGAAGGTGGCAGAGAGACTTGATGAAATATTTCAGACAGGTATAATATGCATTTCTTGTTTCTGACTGGTTATGAAAGTGAGGGCATACCATTTTCAAATTTTTTATAGATTAAGGTTTAAAAATTCATTGTTTTTTGATCTGTGTAGCTCTGAATGTTTTGCTACTTTGACTTCCCTAAAGGCAAATTGGGTTTGACATTGACTAATTACTTGACTCATCCTTAGTGTTGTATGTGATATCTTAGTTGCTTTAGGGCACAGAGCACTAGTTTTAGACGTTGTCAAATAAAGATGTATGTTTGAGAATACTAAACTGTACATTTTTTGGTTTTTTCCTTCAATCCGAATCATCATTTTGCTTTTACTTTTCTACTGTCAACTCCTCACAGTGGTTCTTAAACACTCAAAGGCTGGATAGGTAACATAGCGAGGGAAGCAATTAGCTTGTCTTGCCTGGGACTACATTTGAATTGAGTCTGCCTGTGGATTTTTTGTTCTCTCTAGTTTTGAGTGGACAGTTTAATCCATGATGGTTATTACACTGAAATGTTCAGTTTGACACTAACAAAGTTGAGGACTAAGCTATCTAGCAAACCGAGTAATACCTTGCTGGTAGCAAGTGGTCTCTGCAACTTCTAGAGAGGTTTCTTTATATACAAAGGTTTTCCTATTTTGTTTTTGTACCCCCCCCCCCGCCTTACTATTATTTTGTCCTATAGCCAGAGGCTTCCTTTTCCTCTTTAGCGTGTGTTCTGTGAACAGATACATAAGAAGCAGTAGTACTGCTGTATGCGCTTATCTTGAATGCCTTGGTGGCAAGATGACAGTTTTTGCTGAAGAGAGTCAAAACTCCACTGATCCAAGTGAAGGCAGTTCAAAACCAATACCTTCCCCATCTTCAGTATGATACTCTGGCTCACGTGGGTGATGTCCTTTGGAAGTCATTCACTGTGAGCTTTCATCAAGCCTTTACCAGCTTTTATAGGCTTTAGACACAATTTCTAACTGTGGATCACGATGATGTGCACTCGATGGTTTGAGACAAGGTGTAAGTGCCTGGGCAGAGGAACTTGTGGGGCTCTAACACGTGTTGCAGTTAGGTTGTGTTGTGAGGAGTTCTCAAGGGGTTTTAAAAGCTTTTCAGCCCAGAACCTGACTACCTAGTGTAAATTCACTGCATGAGTAACCTGAAAGCATTTATTCACACTTCCTCAGTGCCATTGCAGGTGTTCACTTTGTGCGGGGGTTTGTCAGTGAAGCGAACTACTTCTGACACCCAAGCTAAATTTGGGGTTGAATTTAAGGGATTTTTAATCTGCTGAGGTCTTACATGAGAGATACAGGTGCCTTCCAATATGCAGGATCACTTCTGAAATGTAGTCCTTGGGCTTGGCACTACTGTGCGTTTTTGAACTCAAGTAGCAGTGAAACAATCTGTATTTTGGAGGTCAAGCTGTTGCAAAGCATGTGGAGTTCTTGGTATCTCTCCTAAATTTTGCTGTGTAGTTTAAAAAGTGCAAATCTTAAAGTCTGTACTCGCTCCACAGCTTATGAAAGTGCATTACAAAAGGAAAGAAATTACCTGTAAAGATCCTTAAAAAGAAAGAGTGTTTCAGAACTGGTCCAATGTTTCTTGGGGGATTCTGTACCTGTAAAATTAACGTTAGCCTTTTCGGGTACATAGCAGGGCTCGAAATAATACCTTTTTGAATTCTGGCTCTTGGAACTTCATAGAGCACCACAATTTTACACATCTAGCAAGTCCACTGATTTTTGCTTTTTGAAGTCGGAGGAAAGAGGGAACAAACCATTCTACCTCCTTAAATTTTCTGGAGCTCAGCTTCTTTAAGGATGTGCTTGTCAGTCAGGTAGCTCCTTTTTCAGGTACAAGAGGATATTTGTAATGTTCACATGTCAGCTTACTCTAGAACAGCTTCACTCAAGAGAGGGAAGTGTGAAACTTAAAATGAAAGACAAACAAACTCCAAATTACTCGAAGTGAGCCAGAGGTCATTGTTTCAAACCCTGGTGTGTGATACTGCCTTTGTGCAGCAGATTGCATTCCCGAATGTTAGAGAACTCTTACACATGGGCTATAATCTTGTATATTAGTTAGTGCTTAGGTATATACATTTTAATTTAACTTTTTTCATTGTTGTACTCATGTTCTTTCATATACTTGTGTAGGAATATGTAATTATATTAAATGTGTAATTCTATTGCTATGGAACGTAACTTTTTTGACTTTAAAAGCAAACTGCATAGTTCTTAGTTTGTATGAAATTCAATAGAAATCTGTAACTTCTTTATCTTTAACTTTTAGGGTTGGTAGCTTATGTCGATCTTGATGAAAGAGCAATTGATGCTCTTAGGGAATTTAATGAAGAAGGAGCCCTCTCTGTATTACAGCAGTTTAAAGAAAGTGACCTGTCGCATGTACAGGTAAGGTGAGAGCTCCAGGAGTGTGAGCACATAAGTATAAAGAGTGTTCTGGCACTATTGGTGGGAGAGTTGTAACTTAAAAATTCATTGATATTGTTGTATTCTTATGTTTCTAGCCCAAATCACAAGCCTGTTTAAAATTGCCTTAAATATGTAGGTATTGGAGTGCAAAGCAAAAGCTCCCAGATAATAAAAAATGAGTGTGCAAATAAGAAAATAAGGTAAAAATACTCTCTGGAATCTGATCAGTTTTTCCAATCTGACAAGTTTGTTTGATTGATCGTTATATTTTGCTAAAGGATTTGTTTGTTGCATTGGTAGGATATAGTGACCTCATGGTCTGGAGGGAGATTCAGTGGATTCCCAGGGCTTGTCATACACACAATTGAATTATTTTGTAAATTGTATCTACAGAACAAAAGTGCATTTTTATGTGGAGTTATGAAGACCTACAGGCAAAGAGAGAAACAAGGCAGCAAAGTACAGGAATCAACGAAGGGACCAGATGAAGCAAAGATTAAGGTAACATTTAGAAGCTACTGATTAGCCTGTACTACCAGATAACATCACCTGTACAGAGACTGAAGTAATTCTGAGTGTACTTAAAAACATCGATGCTCCCTGGAGTATTATTCACACTTGGCTTTAAAGACGTATATGCATGATAGAGACTTGGGGGTGTGCTTGTTTGGGATGCAGATCTTCCTGATGACATTGTTGCCAAAATGTATGAACTTATGTAAGGTCTGTGAAAACACTGCTATCTGTGTAAGAATTGTCTTAGTTGTCCTTTTATATTAAAGCTTTTACGCACTCATAAAATTACTTTGAGACTGATTTGAACAAGGTATTAGTCTATTAGGGAAGTCTTCTGTTGTGCAAAGACCTAGCTATGGCCTGGTGTACTGGAGTTCTTGGGGTACCACATATAAAGGGGAAAATAGAGAGTTATTTCCAGTCACCTTGTAGTATAAAAATGCTGCTGTTTGTGGTGGTGGTTTTTAAAACCCCCGTAATAACATGTTTTTTTGTAGGTTCTGTCTTGTCCATATGTACCTTGTGGCAAGGAGCAGATAAGGAAATCCTTATTTTAGGCCAGTTTTTTTATTCTTTATATTTTATCCACTGTCCTCCCCCCTGTAACTAATGTGACTAATCTTTTGCTTTTTCAGGCTTTGCTAGAGAGAACTGGTTACACTTTGGATGTAACTACAGGACAGAGGAAATATGGGGGCCCTCCTCCAGATACTGTATATTCTGGTGTTCAGCCTGGCATTGGAACAGAGGTTAGTATTTACAACCTAATCTGACTGTTGTGCTGTATTTTTGTGCAAACTGATAGATAAGAAATACATGACAATAAACTGTATTACAAGCAAAAGGTTAAAGCATTGCAGAGGAAAATATTCTTCCATGTGTGTCTTAGTCTTCTTTATTCATCAATATCCTGCAAAAGGCAGATAACAGGATGACATTGGGAAAGCAGGTGGAATATAGTAGGAAAGGCTATGTAAAATTTTGAAGATGTAAAATAGATTATTAAATCTAAATTATTAAAACTTCATGGTCCACCCTACTCAATCCTATCGTACATCACTTAAAAAATGACTACTGTGGCTTTTGTTTGTGTTCAAACACTGGAGCAGGCTTCCTGGAGAGGTCGATGCCCTGAGCCTGTTGGTATTTAAGAAGCATTTGGATGATGCCCTTAACGTGCTTCCAACTGAACTATTCTATTCTATTCATGACTGAAGATACTTGACTGATGCCAGAGAGGGACTCTTTGTCAGGATCTGTAGCTATAGGACAAGGGGTGAGGGGTTTAAACTGAAACAGGGGAAGTTCAGGGCATATACAAGGAAAAAGTTCTTTACTGTGAGGGTAGTGAGGCCCTGGCACAGGATGCCCAGAGAAGTGGTGAATGCTCCATCCCTGGCAGTGTTCAAGGCCAGGTTGGACAGAGCCTTGGGCGATGTAGTCTAGTGTGAGGCATCCCTGCCCATGGCAGGGGGTTGGGACTGGAGGATCTTAAGGTCCTTTCCAACCCAAACCATTCTATGATTCTTTGTAAAATCAAGTATTAACAGTGGGATGTTTAGAAGACTCATTAGGAGATGCTGGAATGCTGGCTGCAGTGTTTCTGCTGTGATGGTTTCTGGGCTATGTGTCTCCTTTCCCAAGAACTTCTAAGTGTCAACAGTTTGGATTTCTAAGAAGCTTGGTTTAATAAGTGTCCTCTTCCTTTTTAGGTTTTTGTTGGTAAGATTCCCCGGGACTTGTATGAAGATGAACTGGTACCACTCTTTGAGAAAGCTGGTCCCATTTGGGATCTGCGCCTCATGATGGATCCTCTTTCTGGTCAGAACAGAGGTTACGCTTTCATTACCTTTTGTAGTAAAGATGCAGCACAGGAAGCAGTCAAACTGGTGAGTAACCTACTTTCCGACAGACAAGATAATGTAAACAGCATGGTGGTAATCTGAGATAATGAAGTCTTTGAAGTATTTTGTTAAAGCATCCATTGAGAGACTCCAAATCTTCCTTTCTTAAAAACTGCCTCTTAATTTCATTTAATGTATACAAATAACCCACTTTTGGAACCAGTCTGCTATAGCCTACTGCAGTATGCTGGAGTACTTGGGTGATTATACTAAGAGCTTACTTTATTCTTTAAGCTTCACTGTGTTTAAGTTTTGTCACCCTTCCTACTATAAAGAGCTGACTGCAGATGCTTCATTGTGCTGCTGTGCTGGAGCAGGTCTCTGCCTTGGTGCTGTGTGGTTTGTGGTGGCCTTTATTTCTTTCCAGTGGCAGTTCTACAGTCAGCTGACTACATGGAGAGCTGGCTTGGCCTGCATCTGCATGGTTTGGCAATGGACACAGAGCAATCCCTGGAGTGAAAATGAGAGACAGCAATCTGACTGGGGCCCTGGATCAGAAAATAATTCAAAATACTATGTCTAAAAGTAGTGTATAATGAAGGAAATAGCTGATATTGTGATTTGGGGGATCTTTGTATTATTGTGGATTAAGCAAATGAGTGGCCCTTTTTCTTTTTCTTAGTGTGACAACTATGAAATCCGTCCTGGGAAGCACCTTGGAGTATGCATCTCCGTGGCAAACAACAGGTTATTTGTTGGGTCAATTCCAAAGAACAAGACTAAGGAAAACATATTGGAAGAGTTCAGTAAAGTCACAGGTGAGGCCTTCTGAATGACTCTTTCACACTGATCCCAAAATACCATTCGGTCTCTTTTGTAGATCTGGTTATTTGACAGATGTGTTCAGCTATCATTAAAGCTATTGCCAGGTTGGATTCCAAGTAGAAAATTTATATCTCAAAGGTACTTGACGGTGGAGTATAAAGAGTTTAGTGTCTGTTTTAACGGATTGCTAAATTAATATTGTTGTAGGTTTATAATTTGGGATTGAAACAGCACAAATATCTCAGGAAAAAAAAATCATTGGTCCCAGTTCTGTTACCTGTTCCAGCTTCCTGTGTATTTGTAACTGAAACTGCTTTCAAAGCTGCGATGTTTTCGGGGAGCCTCAAATGTATTGTTGAGGAATGATGGGAGGAGGGAATACTGAATCAGTTTATATGGAATGTTACTGTAGAAATGGTTAACGACAGATAAAATTTCTGTCCCAGTTCTTCAGTGTTGTTCCTCAGTATATGCCACAAGCAGGAAGAAGAGAAGTCAGCTCGTCACTGGAAGGAGGATTTCGCTTTAAATATTAGATTGAGGTCTTGATTGCCTGCTCTTGTTCCTATAGGAAAGTTTTAACCTACTGCTTCTTTTTTAGGATTGCTATCTATAGGTACTTCAGGGAAGTGCTGAAAACAGAAGGTGAATTTTCATTTAGTTGTCTCTCCTTTTTTTGGAGAGATGTGGAAGGAATTCTTTCCAGCTTCCCTTGGAGGCAGGGGAAATGCCACTTGTTAATGCTGACTGCTGCTCAAAAGTGTAAAACTGGTTTAAACAAAAAACAGAGAACTTGCACTGTGTGAACTGTTCAGGTTGATGTTTTGCAGAGTCTAAGTGTGAGGTAAGTTTGTTCTGGAGAATTTCACCTTCTAGGTGACCTCTTTCTGGGTAAACTGAATGGACATCTCTCGTTTGTTCTGCTTTTCTGGTACTCCCTTCCCCTTTCAGGTGCTACATTCAAAGGCTGTGTAGTACAAAAACCAGTGAAGGCATTTTAGAGTAGACTATACTACTTTTTCTTTCACTTTGAAGCTAAATACTAAAGACCTGTTTTTCAGAGGGTTTGGTGGATGTAATCTTATATCATCAACCTGATGATAAAAAGAAGAATCGAGGATTCTGCTTCTTGGAATATGAGGATCACAAGTCAGCAGCACAAGCTCGCCGCCGCCTCATGAGTGGCAAAGTAAAAGTCTGGGGAAATGTTGTGACAGTGGAATGGGCTGATCCAGTAGAGGAACCTGATCCAGAAGTCATGGCAAAGGTAAGTAAAAACTGAAATGGATCCTCTTGTGCTTTGGGAGGGATTTCTTTATGCCATAGTGACAATGATTTGTTCCACTGAGCAATGCTAGTTTTGAGGCAGAAAAAGCAGTTAGAGGCCATGGCATGGGCTGAGCACAGCAGGTTGGTTGTCATTGTAAGGTGTTCGGAACATACTGTTGCCATTGAAACTCTTAGTGTGCAGGATTGTCCTCCTAGATTGGCACATCAGTCTGTCTGTTGTATGCTTCTGTGGATAATAAATGTGAGGCGGGTGTTTCGTAAAGCTGTTTTCCAGAGTGAGGTGAAGATGAAGTTCAGCGTAGGGAATGACATGCTCTTTGCCCCTCTGTTCTGGGATAACTCTTTGCTGCTCTTGAAGTCTATTACTAAGATTTTGCTGGGATTTGTAGCATCCCAGAAACAGAAACTGAAAGTTGGATATTCTTCTGGTCATGGAAGGGAACTGTGGAAGAAGTTGTAGAAACCTCATACAGGTAACTGAGGCCATTTTTATTTATTTCTTTATTTTTAATAGGTAGAGAACCTTTTATAAGGTTACCCAAAATAAGTTAATGGAGAGAAGGGGACAGCATTTCACTATTTTCTGTTGGTTTCCTTTGAGGTTTGACTTCTAAAGATTTCAACTTTCATTCTCATTTTTTCACCAGGTGAAAGTTTTATTTGTAAGAAATTTGGCCACGACTGTGACAGAAGAAATCCTGGAGAAATCCTTTTCTGAATTTGGAAAGCTGGAAAGAGTAAAGAAGTTGAAGGATTATGCTTTTGTTCATTTTGAGGACAGAGGTGCAGCAGTGAAGGTAGGTCGAGTATTATTTCCTAACTAAATTGATACGAGCAGTTGATTTTGTACAAGTGGGTTTAAGCAGTTCTGTTAACAGTTAACATCTAGATAAGACAATTTGTAGAGCCCATTGAATAAGGTTCCCATTGTGAGAGTTTTAACACTAATAATTTTGTTCCTATGATTTCAGTAGCTAGGAGGATGTGAAACTTGCAGAGTTAACAAGTAGACTGGAAAAGAGGTATAGACCAATGCAGGAGAGTCTAGAGAAGAGGAAAGTAAAAAAAGAGCAACCTAGACAATATTTCTGAGGAAACACTGACAGAAGGTATCAGTTGTCTCTCAAAGACCCCTATTTAAAGTGTGTAGTTTTGCAGTGCCAAGGTATTGACTAGAAATTGCAAAGTAATTCAGAATCTCCTTGTGCAGGGGAGAAAAGTGGCACTAACAACTCCTTTAGTGCATTACCTGTTTTGAACTGTACATGCTCCTGAGGAGGTTTCTTCTTAAGGTTATTATTAAAGCTTCAAAGGTGTCTTCCTTTGTATCTAAGAGCAGTTGAAAAGGTCATTCATCTCTGCTGCTTGTACTTAAATTGACTGAATTCTATAGGAATTACTTCATCTGTTGTCAAAGCCATAGTTCATGGGGGGAAGGAGGAGGGGAGGGAAGTGTTTTGCAGCTGGGAGTCTTGAGCAAGTATATTTATTGTATGTAGTGTATGTGGCTATGTTGGCAGTTCAAAGGCTTTTTAGTCAACCTTATAAATAACTTAATTGCTTATGATTTTCCTACCCGTCAGAATGTGGTTTTACAATACAGTTGAGTTTGGCTTCAGGAGGAGTGTCACTCATATTTGGTGAAGTTGAAGTCAGTTTGGGTAGGTTTAGACCATGTCCAAAAGAGGATAAGATACTGTTGACAGAAAGGGTAAGTCAGCGAGACTCCTGACATGTTTTATTGTATAGTAGGTCTTTAACACTCTCCAGTCCTTTCCCAGTAGACCTTAATTGTAAGTGCTCTGTTATATTTGAGCAACTGAAAAGAGCAGATGAGAAAGGAGAGATCAAGTGCGGTACAGCAGAGCATCAGATGCTCGCCCTGTCTGAAACAAGCTGGAATACTGCCACATCTGCCCCATGTGCATGAATTATGGCCACTAAACTGGTTTATAAATTTTGTGAGTTATTTTTGTGTATGGGTGTGTTGTTTGTGTTTTTGTGAAAGCATTATGGTATCAGTGTATGGAATTGGCTCACTTGATTCCAGTGTCTGCTTCTTTTCATACCTTCTTTAAAAACAATTGCTACGGTGTCTGATGGTTTTGAGGCATGTGGCTATACAGGCGTACAAATATTAATACCCATAAATGTTAAATGCAAAGCAGGTAACTCCAAGTAAAGAATTAGTGGGTGTAGTCCTAATCATCCTCTGCGTATGAAGTTCTCTTTGTGTGTGCACTTGATCATTACAAATGGCACATTACTGTTCTGGAGAATCTTGTCTCACTTGGTAAAATTAACAACTTTCAGTAATTTTTTGTCTTTTCCCATAAGTCTGTGTCCTCAGATACACTCGATGTCCTCAGAGGCACTCATGTAGTACATTCAACCAGCCAGGAAGCCCAGCTATAAAAATACTTTCTTCTGTGTGCGTGTGTGCTTTACCTGGCTTATAAATCCAGTGAGCATTTGTATCAGTGTGAGTAGTGAGAACTTCTGTCAGTGTGTTTCTGAAGTGTTTCTAGGGGATATAGGAACATAAAAAGCCATGGAGTTACGTCTGATTTGTTTAATGCTCAATATGTTTTAATCCCATTCCTTTATGATGTAAATAGAAACTTAAGTGCTGCTTCACTGTAAATGGTGGGACTTGAAGGAATGCTACCTAACATTCTGTTGAAGTAGCACAGCAGTGAGCACATGGCATAGGTCAGCCTGGAGCAGCCCAGCCATCTGTTTTCTTTCACTAAGTTTGTTCCCTTTTAAATGGAAACAAATTTTTAGCTGTTTCTCTTCTAATTTTTGTACAGGCTATGAATGAAATGAATGGGAAAGAGATAGAAGGGGAAGAAATTGAAATAGTGTTAGCAAAGCCACCGGATAAGAAAAGGAAAGAACGTCAGGCTGCCAGACAGGCCTCCAGAAATACTGCGTGAGTGTTCATTCTTGCACTATTCTATCGCTGCAAAGTAAAGTTTGGCTGTAAAATACGAGCTAGTTTGGAAGAACCTGAATGCCTTTTCTCCGTGTTGTGTGTTATTAATCAACAGGGGGAAGTTTATGCTGTGTTTTCGGAGACTTTTGAAGATAAATAATTGCACGTTTCTTTTTCTTAATAGGTATGAAGACTATTATTACTACCCTCCACCTCGCATGCCACCTCCTATTAGAGGCAGAGGCCGTGGAGGGAGAGGTGGATATGGCTATCCCCCAGATTACTATGGCTATGAAGATTATTATGATGATTATTATGGTTATGACTATCATGACTACCGTGGTGGCTATGAAGATCCCTATTACGGCTATGATGATGGCTATGCTATAAGAGGAAGAGGAGGAGGAGGAAGGGGTGGGAGAGGTGCCCCTCCACCACCTAGGGGGCGGGGAGCACCACCACCAAGAGGTAGAGCTGGCTATTCACAGAGGGGGGCACCCATGGGACCGCCGAGAGGAGCCAGGGGTGGGAGAGGGGGTCCTGCACAGCAACAGAGAGGACGTGGTGCTCGTGGAGCCAGGGGCAACCGAGGGGGCAACGTAGGAGGCAAGAGAAAGGCAGATGGGTACAACCAACCTGATTCCAAGCGCCGTCAGACCAACAACCAGCAGAACTGGGGCTCCCAACCCATCGCTCAACAGCCGCTCCAGCAAGGTGGTGACTATGCCGGTAACTATGGTTACAATAATGACAACCAAGAATTTTATCAGGATACTTATGGGCAACAGTGGAAGTAGACAAGTGAGGAGGGATTGAGAATATTGGAAACATAGAATTGGCAATAGCTCTACATCCTTCAAAACAAAATTGGCTTAATGTTTCATCCTTCAGTAGCGATTGGCTGCCATTTGTATTGGGCTGAAGAATCACTCTATCGTGTATATACTCGAGTCTCTTAGTTTTCTTTTTTCATAAACGCACTTGGACATTACTGGGCTTGCAGAATTCCTGAACTCCATATGGGGTTTCAATGCTATTATCATTTTAGCTTCATTTTAGCAGTTTAAAAGCAGGAATGGCACACTGTTCAATCATGATTTTGCAGAACCTCTGGTTTTGGACAGGTTTTTTTTTTTTTTGGTTTATTTTTATTTTTTTGGTTTAATTTTTTTTTTTTTTTGGATTTGGGATAGACTACATAGGAGTATGCTGTACATAAAAGTAAAAGCTAGTGCTTTGTCTCAGTAGTTTTAAGAAATTACAACAAATTAAGTTTTCTTGTATTGAAAATAACATGATTGTATGTTTTGCATTCCTAGAAGTAGGTTAACTGTGTTTTTAAATTGTTATAACTTCACACCTTTTTGAAAATCTGCCCTACAAAATTTGTTTGGCTTAAAAAAAAACAAACGTCAAAGCCGTGGCAATTTGTTCCTTGATGTGATTGTATTTCCAATTTCTTGTTCATGTAAGATTTCAATAAAACTCAAAAATCTATTCAAAACATTTACCTATTTCAAATTCAATTGTGTCCTAAAACATTCTTTCATTGGTAATCCTTGCGAAAAACATTGTTTTCAAAGTTGAACTGCCTATGTGAGTGATCAAATTCGTGCAAAATTTCTTGTGCTTTCCAACATGTAGCACTGTGGACATCAGACTGAAAACTAGGAGAAATTACAGCTAGCCCAAAGGGCGCTCTTTGTTTAAGTGCTGTTCAGTAACTTACCAGCATCTAATTTTGGAACTTTATTTTTGTTGCCTTTTTCAAAGTGTTGAAATGTGTCCAAACATTCACAGAGATCTAATTGAAATCGAATCTGCTCACGTAATGTGGAGAAGGAAGCAGAGCCTACAATGGTGTTAATTTGGTTCCTTTTTATTATGCGCTATGGAGTCCTTCTAAAGGCTGTTCTGTTAGGATCCAGCCACACTGGAATATTCAGCGTGCAGACACATAGGGAAATGGTTTTGATCTCGAGCATCTTAGTCTAATTTACGATTCTATTTGACTAGGAATGAGGACTATCAATCCGCTGCTGTGGCACAGTAAACTGACTTCTTGCTACAGAGAACACAAACATACTCTCTATATCCTGCTTGTTTCTGTCTTGACGTTTTAATTTGATGTTCTGCCATGATGAACAATTTGCCGTAGAATTCTCATGCCTTGTAATAGAGGCTGTTTAAAAAAAAAACACGGAATTATCTTTTGGGGGCATTACTAGCTACCTTATTGGGGTATTCTGTGTTGTTTTGACCCTTGTCTTGGACATTCCCAGATGTCAATTTTAACTGGCAAGTCATGACATTACTCGTCTGTTGCATCTGAGCCATTCTGTACCCCAATGAAGAACATTTGCTTCTCAAGAAAAAAAAGAGAAACAAACGGATTTGAACTTTCTCTAAAGAAAACTTTAAAGTAAAAAAACCTTGATTTACAGCATTCTAAACACAGACTATTGAGGAAGTTAAACTTCAGTGGTCATACTCCTCCCTTTGTCTTCTATTCCTGTCTGGTGTCTCTCAAGTGAGTTATGTCAGAATGTGAACAGGCAGATGAGCCTTCCCACGCCTCACTGTCGTGGGTCTGGTAAATGATTGCATGGTTTGAGTTTTGACCTGAATTAACATGAGGATGTATGTCGTTCTCTCAAAACAGTTTTGCCCTTTGTTAGGCTCTTCTTTTCAAATTAATAGAATTGCTCATAAATAATTTAAAGTGCTTTTTGAAATTAATTTTTAGGATGTTAAAGCCTTTTTTTGTTGTTTTTTTTTTGGGGGGGTGGGGGTTTTTAATTCATAAAATTAATGGGGCCAAGTCCTGTCCTCTCTGTTCCTTACTTGAGCAGTGAAGTCAGAGGGGTATTGCCCAGGTATATGTTTCAGGCTTTTGCTTGTGGTAAGCATCTGGCTTGTAATTTTGTTTTAATACAGGGGTTTGCTGTCCTACAAGTATGATTTTATAGTAACTATATAGATTTTCTGGTGGTGAGCAGAACCCTGTAGTCCCAATAAGTATTTGCTTTTCAGAAATCAATGTAAAGAGGATCTGGTACAAGGCAGCTTAACTGGAATCAAATTTAAAGTGCTCTCCATCCTGGAAGGAAGATAGTGTTCATGGACTGAAGTGTTAGCCCAGGAGAGGTGAAGTGCCAGTGCTGTTTATGGGGGGTGTGGGGAGGAAGAGAAAACACTTGTTATAATGCTCACAGAACAACTAAGGAACAGAAATGTTAAAATTGTCTTCCTTAAGAACTGCTAAGCTACATCTTGTATTTATTTCTGCCCAAATCACCATTTATCCTATATTTTTATTGAATGCGAGCTATACGTTCTTAGAATTGAAAATTCAAGTCAGTAAAAGTTTCTATTTGCAAGATACATCAAGTTCTTTGATTTCCATGGGTAACTCAAATTAACCATTGAAATTTGCAGCAGGCCTTTCCTGCTAACGTGTACCGCAGCTTACTCAAGTAGTGTGGTGTATGCTGAACTTGATCTTAAAATCATGGCAAAAAAATCATTGCACAAAGATACTGTAGCACACTGGAAAAATCTGCCCTGCCTGGTGGCAGGTACTCAAAGGGAAGAATTTTGCACAGTTTTGATATATAGTCAAAGCAAATAAATTTAAATTGACTCTCGTGCATCTGTTTTGATCCTTTCTTCAGTAGAACATAATAAAAATGCTCTCATAGAATATGTTGAAAATGGATTTCAACTTGCAAAGCCATATTAAGCTTTCATGAGTGTCCTGCTGGCGCTGGAGGAAGAGCCATGAAATGGGATTTTAATAATTTGATCACTCATTTACAGCAGTTGCTTAAATGTCTGTATCGAGAAGGTGTTTGACTTGAAGTAGGTTGCCAGATTCATAGCCATTCCAAAACCTGAGCAAAAGCTTTTTACAGCTGTTGTGTTACAGACTGATCTTCACCTTATTGAGCAAATCAGTTCCCTAAACTCAGCTTTTGATTTTCCTGATTTGTAACCAGAGTTGCATTCTCCCAAAGCATGAAAGGTTTGATTTTTGTAGCGCTGGTTTATTTTCAGGACTCTGTAGCCTGATTCTGAAATAAATGACAACTGAATTCCTTAAACCTGTTCAAAATAAACTGGAAGTAGAAGATCACCACATGATTTTGGTGACTCTGTATAAAAACGTGATCGCTCTTTGTCCTCTCTGCATTTGGTCATGAAGCCCATTTCTCTATTTTGAGCTACACAGGCAGAAATACAGAGGGCACTCTTATTATAAGGCTAGCAGGAAAACAGATGTGAAGTATTGAGCAAAAAGGCTTAAGCCTCTTGGTAAAAGATGTTTGGCACTTAGATGTAAACCCTTGATGCAGATGTATGTGCTTTCAGCAAGGCTTTTGTTACCCAAAAGTGATGGTGGCCCATATGTAGGGCAGCCGGGGCCCTCCTGCAGATCTGTCCTGACTAATCTGGGATAGTGCATGACTAGAGTCGAGTAGTTGTGTGATTAAAGATTGCCAGTGCAGTGAAGATTTGCCAGATTGAGTGGTCATTCACATGCAGATCAGAGCCTTATAGAAAGAGTGTTCCAAGTGGTGTTTCCTGTTTGTTCTAAAGTGAGAAACCCAAAAGTTAGAGCTTCTGTTAACTTAGAATCAGAACGAAGCTGTTGTAGTCTATTGGCTTAAAATGTCTTTTGAAACCCAGAGTGGATCTGATGAGTGTGCATTAGTTCATAAAATGTTTAGAGTAGGGGAAAACCCCAATCATTTGCCTTAAAAGGGAAATCTTAAGCTGTTGTTCTCATTCAAACAAACCAGTCGAGGTGGAGCTGCAAGATTTGGTTATTGATCGGGAACTCTGGAAATTTTAGAGCAGGAGAATCCCTCTGAAGAAATGATGTTTTAACAACTCGGAGGTTACCAGAAGCTCTCAAAGACAGTTCACAATATATTGCATCACGTTTTCTGATGTCCAGAAATCTGCAAGTGTCAATTTTGTGTTTTAACTCCTTCCTTTTACCTGACTATCAGGGAAGCGTGCTTGAGGCTGACCTGACATGTCATGATGTGGACTTGCTAGGTGGGGTTCGCAAGGCACAGTAACCTTGGAGTTATCGGTAAGACAACTTTCTTTCTCATTTCCTTCAGTAAGGTTAAAGGGCTGGGGTGGGTGGAGGGAGGAGATGAGCTCCACAGGCCAGAGCCCTGGAATATTGTTGAAAATCTGCCATTACCATGGAGAGATTCCAAGCGCTGAAGGTAAAGGTTAACTTTAAATACATCCATGTCCAGGAGGAGCATGGCATAGGTTCTTACAACTGAAATACATGGGAAAATAAAGCTGAGTTTCACTTCAGAAGAAAACGATGCTGTTTTAGGGATGCCAGAAGCGTAAGATACTTTGAACACTAAATTGTTTTCTCTAATTAATCCAGGTAAGGGTTTATCCCCTCCCCAAAGCCAGCGAACAGCACACTTCTTCACAGTCAGAGAATGCTGCTGAGAAATGTGTCCAAGTAGATTTCCATAAAAATAAAATTTGATCTTGAAAATAGCAATAAAACTGGCATATCATGACTGGCTCATTTGATCATGATACTGCTTGGAAGGCATTAATTGAGAGAGAATTGCCATTAAACCAAGGGACACTTGTAGTTGATCGTGGTATAAAACCGCTTGGGTTTAGTGATCATCATTTGTGGTGGGCATGATTCTAGACCAAGAGCAAAAGCTGAAGAGCAGCAGTCTCAAACCTGAAATACTTGGGCATGTTGAACCCTTCATGGCCCCTGCTCACCTTTTGCACATTCCCTCAGCCAGAAGCATCAAGACCTTTCTTTTCCCGGTTGTACATTTACGCACTACTTGGAAAGGAGCAGAGAAGCTGGAAAGAGCTTCCTAGGCTATAGGAGCATTCCAGGTTCAGTCATTCTTTGTCGTGGAACTGAATAGCGTTGCCAGTTCTGACAGCCAACTGCCGAAGAGATGTACCTGGTGAGTAGAGGCGTTTTGTAAGGATTTTTGAGATCTGAAGTGTTTGCTTATTTCCAGCTGCTCTTTGCTTGGCACCCCTCAGTTTGAGATCGCACAGAGCTGTTTCACTTTAAAGAGCTCAGAAATGAGAGGATCTCTGTTAGCTTTGGGTTCTCCGGTCTCTGTAATCCCGTGGAGATCCTGATGAGGAGCAGGACTTGTTGAATATGCTCAGCTTGCATATGCGTCATGTTGTAGAGATGAAGCAGATGGCAAGGTTGTTATGGGGGGGGAGCCCACCCTAAGTGGATTAGCTTTTGCACTTATGGAAGTGGGAGATAACTGTAGGAATACACAGTGGGCTGTACCTGCACAAAGCAGAAACATCAGTCTCCTAACAATGAGGTTTATGAACTCAAAACACAACTTCAGAATGTATTTCTGTGATTATAATCTGACAAATTACATTCAAAGCATCAAAAAGAGCAGCCCAAACTTCAGTTCTGCCCTCCTTGCTTCAGACACAGTGACACTGTGAGAGGTGGGTTCATTCCCATTTCAAGGAAGGAGTATCTGTGGCATCAGAACCTGTTTACAGGCTACTCTGCTGTTACCTTCAGACATTTCAAATTTAGCAAGCAGGAAATGAATACCCACCTTGAATTTAAGAGGGAATGTAGTGTAAGCAATAGTTTTGTGATAAGAAAGGAAATCTAATCTGGAGAGCATTCAGCTGTCTTGGCAATGGATGGGCTTTTCTCTTTTCACGATCCCTGCCTGTGCTGCTTTAACTTCTGCAGAACAAGGGGAAGTGAAACGTACCACGAGCTAAAAGCCCTGTAATTAAAAATAGTTCAAGTGCATAATTGAAGATAGCATCGTAATGCCTGTCCTCAGGAGAGCTCAGTGCGTGTGGCAAAGGCAGTAATTCAGTGTGTCTCAGGCTCGGTTTTAACCTAGTCCTGGATGCAGACTACTTCCTGAAAGCAGCCCTGGAAGCACATTCTAAGGTGCTTTAATCGGGTTCCATGATTCAGCGTATTGAATCAGTGAGGTGGAGACTTGGCATAACTTTTTGCTGGTAGTACCTATAGAACGAACACCAAAAAGGGTAAGAGCACCTTGTTTTAAGTTCCATATCTGGAATATAAGACCAGAGTTCTTGACCTCATCCTTGTGTGTTTTCAATCCAAATAATTGCAATGACACATTTTGCTCCCCATTGTTCTGGGTGAGCTCTTTCCTCCTCTTTGTTCTGCTCGGGGCTGGCAGTAGCAACACTGAGACCACAGGAGAGGAATTCTTCCAGCTCTCAGTATTGTGCATCCATGAGATTGTAGCCGCTTGGAAGAGCCATTGCAGTGAGCTTTGGTTTCATCAAACAGAGTGCCCTGTGCTCTGTAACATGCCAGTACTGCAGGAACTGGTCTGCAAGGAGTTCATACACAGTTATGTTGAAATGGTACCTACCTCATCATCCAAACCAGCTCAGTCAGTAGGATTTTTCCTAGAGATCCTGGCTGTGGACAGATGTTCAGCGTGCAACAGGAAGAGGTTCCAAGCAACAGAACACAGCCTTGTGAGCTGGTGATGGTATTCCTGTTAATTCAGTTGCCAGTCACTGATACCTCCACTTGGCCAGTAAAACTTAGAACAGAACAGAAATGATTCTTCCTGTAAGGTCAGGTCTGTTAGTTGATATTTTATTTACCACTGTATTTCCCCCTTGAACAACCAGCAGGAGTAGCTGTTCTTAGGGTATGAAATATGCATTTCGGTTGTCTTTTCTTTGTGGCTGCTTTGCTTTGCTGGCTCTTACTGTGCACTCAGGTATTTAGGTGGTTTCCAGTTGAAGGAATAGGAGCAAAAATGTTCTGCTTATCTATTCTTTGACGAGAATGGAAAGAGCAGAGATAGAAAACCCATCCAGCTGAGGAAGTCTGAGCCTGCGGCCCGTTATCAACTCCTGGGAGAGGTCCTGCTTTTAGCTAGAAGGAAAATTTCCTCTTCTCTACCTTCTCTTCTCATGAAGTTCCTATTGAAGAGCTTGTTCTGATCTGGTGCTTCTTGCCAGATCTTTGCTGCAGAGCTCTTCTGCGAGCTTGCTGCAAGTGGGAAGTGTGCTGGAGCTGCTGCTCTGAGGGCTGGGATGCATTTCAGGCACATCCTTGTTTTCAGTGCAGAGGAATAAATGACTCTGTTAAATAAATAAAATTACATCATTAGACGCAGAACAAACTCTTCCTGTGGGTGTCTTTGCGCAGGTCCTTGCTATTGTGCATCTAATGAGAACAATCTAGATGAGCTCTTAGGCAGAAGCTCTTCCCTGGGAGGGTGCTGAGGCGCTGGCACAGGGTGCCCAGAGAAGCTGTGGCTGCCCCATCCCTGGCAGTGTCCAAGGCCAGGTTGGACACAGGGGCTTGGAGCAAGCTGCTCTGGTGGAAGGTGTCCCTGCCCGTGGCAAGGGGTTGGAACTGAATGAGCTTTAAGGTCCCTTCCAAGCCAAACCAGGCTGGGATTTGATGATTCTATCTCCATTGAAGTATGAGATCTTGAATTACTAATCTTGTCAGCACTTCTAGATGATACGCCTTGCACAGGGGTGTCAGCATGTGCTTATTAGCTAACTTTGCATTTAATTTGCCCATTTTATGCAAATAAAACTTCCTTATTCCTCATGCCTGTGAAGCATTACACATGCATTTTCTTTAATGTTCCGTGTACGCATTAAATATTTTCCAGTGTGTTTTCTCCTGTGTGATTTCTCTAATGGCAGCTGATAGAAAATAAATGTGCTTTTTCTTCTCTCCTTCCATTTGTTGCTTGACTTACTCCTGTACTTCAGCCTTTTCTCTCATGTCAAATAGATGTCTTCAACTGCGTGTGTTCATAAGGATGTGCAGTGTAGCGTGTGAAATCTAAAGGTCATCCATTAAGTCTGTTTCACTGGGCCAAAGTAGGATCTGTGCAGGGAAGGCTGTGCCTTCCACACCGCAGGAGCCTGCTCAGGTGTGAGAGGCAGCTCCACGAATGTAGGTCATCTCTCTTTCATTGCAGATAGCTTCAAAAATGCTGTAGCGACTGAGCTGAGGTTTAAAATAGAAGCAGCTCAAGAACATCAAATGTTTGGATGCATCACTGGAAGTTGCTGAAATGAGATAGAAACGTGCAGGTACATGAGTAGAGCAAGGTGATGTTTCTAGTGTAAGATCTGTGTAGTGTGGGAATGGCAGTGTGTTAACACGCATGGAAGAGCAGCAGCGTGGTTGTTCAGCTCTGTTGCTGGGATGAGCTCCACCACTCCTTCAACCAAGAAACAGTAAATAGGTTTAAAAATTAAGTTTGAATTTAAGAAATGCATTTAAAATCAGTGCTCTTCTGTTACAGCACGAAGTGCAGAGTCTGGCATGGAGGGTCTAGGTCCAGTTTTGCAGTGGGAGTCACCATCCTTCTCAGAGGCAATGCTTAGAGTGATTATTCCTTTCATTTGACTCATTTTCAGTTATTTTTTACACTACTTCAGTGTTTTCCGTTCTCTAATGGTATAAAAGCCATCTAATTGCGTGCTTGGGATTGGGGTATGATAACCTCGCTTTCCAGTAAGGCTCTTCCTGCAGGGAAGAGGTTTTTGACCTCAGCAACAAGGAAAGTTGCTGGGTTTTGTAGGCTTGTCTGGTTTGCACTGGCAAGTACAACTGAAAGAGCGTCAGCAAGTGGGATCTTGTGAGCATAAGGGTTTTCTACTGAGTCAGGCTGTTTTCAGTGCTGTTTGCATGAGAGGAGTTGAGGGGAATTAGGTAGGGAAGTTTTCTACTCAGTACTTTACAGAAAGACTAAGCTTTGGAGAAGCAGAGGGAGAAAGGAAGTTGTACATCAGACCAGTGCAATCGGTCATGTCCTTCATTAGTAGAGTAGAATGTAGTTTGGTTTATCTCCTCCATTAGTGGAATAGAACGTAGCTTGTTTCAGAGGCAGATAACTTCTTTTTGCTGCATGGAATAAATACTGTATGTTTGAGTGGAAGAGCCCGAGTTCCCTCATTTCTCACTAGCAGTGCAAGACTTCTTCTCATTGCTTAGGAAGTGGCAGTAATACTTCAATATACAGAACAATGAGAACAGCATCCAGCCCTTCTGGCTTATTGCCCATAGCTTCCAGCTCCACGTTCTGGGGAGCTGGAGGGTGTGTTTGGCGTGCTTCAGAGAGCCGTGGCTGGGGAGGTCCAGGGGACCTCCCGATGGAGAACAGGATGGGATCTTACCGCTCCTCTTGTGACGCTTTCTTCCTCCTGCTGCGCTTCGGTCTGGCATGAAATGAACTGTGAGTAACTCTCAAGAAACTTTTGCTTTATTACAGACCCTATCTTAGACACTGAAGTTGTGTCTCAGTACCCAGTGGATTGCTTTTTTTTATGTGTAGCTGTGCTCTTCAGTTGGTCAGAATCGTGCCCAATAAAGGTTTCCATGTGGGTGAATCCCAGCCTGTGGCGATGCCGCGGGTTGGGGCTGCAGGGCAGAGCTGCTCTTCACCTTCTGATGCATCTGTCAACTGATGTTTTGCAGAAGAGTAAATGAGGGGAAAGGGATTGCTAGAGCACAGATACCCATCATGTGGTTTCTTATGTTGGGTGTCTTCTTAAACCTGTTAGAATAATAACCAAGCTGTACTGCAGCGCTTTAATCTAGCTTAATTGTAGCCCGGTGCTTTTTGCATTGAAATGGCTCAGGCAAACCTTTGTTTTGAAATATTTCTCTTTGCTGCTTCCAGTTTTGCACACGGATTTCAGTTGTATCCTGATTGAAGGAATTTTGGCATTCCAGTAGATGGCTCTTCAGTGTCCCGTTTGCAACCCACGCTAGGGAAGAAAAAGAGAAGGATAGAAAAATGAACTGACAGATAGAGGGACAGGACAGAGGATTGCAGCACTCCCCAGCTTCTTACCAATATTTATTATTGTATTGTTTCAGTATTTCCCCTTTCGAGGTGTTTTCTAGGTTTGCTGGACTTAGACTCTGCTCCTCTCAGCCTCCTGTGTTCCCCATGCATCCAGCCAGCACTGTCAGAAGGCTTGACTCGTATTTGCCTCCCAGTTTAGAACTGATTCTCCTGGTGTATGTTTTACAGATATTTCACTTCTTCCTGGCTTTCTGTACTTCTCAATTGAAATGTTCAGGAAGCTTTCAGTGGAGATGAGATAGAGAAGGATTTGTGTGACTGCCCATTTGTATTTGAAAAAACCTTTTTGGGTGTCACCCGAGTCATCTCATTTATTACAGTGAGGGTGGTAAAACACTGGCACAGAGAGGTGATGGATGCCCCATCCCTGGAGACATTCAGGGTCAGGCTGGATGTGGTTCCGAGCAACCTGATGTAGTTGAAGATGTCCCTGCTTGTTGCAGGGGGGTTGGACTGGGTGAGCTTTAAAGTTCCCTTCCAACCCAACCTACCCTATGATTCCAACCCAAACTACTCTGTTATTTGGTGATCTCGGTGTGTTCTGAGATGCCTGCAGCTTTGCAAGGCTCACGTGGAATATTTGTGAGACTTGGTAATCCCATGTGCTGAGAAAGGCAGAGCAGGATGAAAATCAGTTGTATTCTCAGACATGGAGCTCAGTGCCTGCTTTTTTAGCATGTGATTTGAACTGAGAGAAGGAGAATTGAAAAGAACAGTTGTGGTGCTGACTGGCACGAAGAACTGAACAGCACTGCATCTTCTGGATAGGGCTGCAGGTTGGTAAGACACTGGTGCAGCTTTGCTTTGCCAGCCTCTGTGTCCCTTGCAGGGTTAAAAGTTGGGCTTTCTAGCTTCTTTCTCCTGCTGCTGTTTTGCCAGTGTTACTGATGAGAGGTATTGGCATGTTCTTAACACCACCCAGAACCTGCCCCCCACCACCTCCCCAGCCAATAAAGCTGTTTGCTGTGGATGCAGTGGGGCCCCCGAGGGGCCCAGCATGGAGCCATTGAGCCTCCTGACGGGAGGTGGCTGTGCTGGGTTCCCATGTTTCGGGTCTGCCAGAGCAGTATCACAGCAGGGTGTCCCCAGCAGGGTCCAGGCTGTGTGCAGAGCAGATGTGACTCAGAAAGCAGCAGGGCCAGGCTCATCCTGTGCTTGGCTGCAGCAGCCTGGTCCTCAGGTGGCTTGACCTCTTCTCCCTCTTTGTTCACAAACGTGTCAGGCCCTGTACAGACGTGTTCTGCCCGGTTTCTCTTGAGCCTGCTGAGAGGGAAGTTCCTGATCTCATCAGAACACAGACAAAAGCAGGGTAGAACTTTGCTTGCAGCTTTTTGTGTTTCCTCTTTGTGACCGTTCCCCCTTTGGGCTCAGGCCCTTTCCCCTTTTCACAGGTCTCTCAGCCTTCCACCCATCTTAGGTTTACAAATAAGTAAGACCTTCCCAGTCCTCTCAATCCCTTTGGTGGGTGCTTGTCCATGGATACTGGCAGAACCTCCAGACGTTGCTTAGAGCCTCGGTTGATGGCTGAGGTGTGGCAGCAGTAGGTAACGTTTGAAGTGTTGCTCTTTGAGGTGATGCTGCTTCATGGACCACAAACACCTTCCCATTCTGTTGAGGTCATCCCACCTCTGCAGTGCTGCTGTCTTCCTAGCATTGCTGGGTGCCAACTCAGGAGAACTTCTATAGTCCAAAACAAGAGGTAGCAGAAAGCCTTTATTGGCTCTGGGGCTTTGCTCTGTTGTCCAGGTCCTTTTTGATTGTCCTCTTGAGACCCAAGAGAGGAGTTGGGTCCAGAGTTCAGCTTGCTTTGAGTGAGCTTTCGAGCTTTATACCTAAAATACGATGGCAGAAACCCATGAACCAGTTAATTCGCTGCTCAGATCCATTTGAGGCGAGTGCTTTTCTTCTACATCCCTTGCTGTCCGGGTTCTGGCCTGTGCTGGATCATCAGCCTGGCTTGCCAGGAGGCTCTTGACCTCTTTAGGGTTCCAGATATGATTTGCCCTGGTTTAGGGCAGTGGTTATGATCCCAGCTGTCAGGTGCCTGCTGAATACTTAGATTTGTAGTTTCTCCAGAGTTGGTGGTTGGTTTCTCTTCACTGCTTTTGGCCATTAGTCTTAGAAGATGCTCTTGGGGGAGCGTGGTAGAGCCCTGCCTCTTGTGATAGCGCCTTGCTGACGGTACCTTGACAGGTATCATCACTTAGACTCGCGTAGGCAGCGAGAGATCTTGCAGCCTGGTTGGTTGTCATTCATCTGAGTGCTATCAGACTCATTTAGGATTTTCATTGCCTGCCTGTTCTTAGTGGATTTGCCTTGAAATAAAGAGTAAGTAAATGCCAGTTAATGTCGCTACTGCACAACAGCCTGTGTAGACAGCGGGGAAGTGACTCGCATTTTGTTTCATCTGCAGGATATTCAGGTTGATCCATCTTTGACTGAACAGTTTCTGTCTCCTTAATGGGAAAAACAATGATCTGCTCCGGAGTAGTTGGGATTTCTTTTTACTCTGCATGCTTAAAAGAAGCTTCCAACGTGTGGTAGGAGAAACAGAGTTCAAAGAAGAAAACCTGATTTCTAAAGTCAAGGAACATGGATTCTTATTCCTTACCCTTACTAAAGCCTCAGACCAAGGGGCAGTCAAAGACTTAAGTGTCAAAATAGCTTAAATCAGCTCTGGCAGTGTGTAATTTCTGTTAGGGAGCTGAAGCTGTAACTCGGGTAACTGTCACTGTCTCGCTCCAGGTTTAGTCCTGAGCTCTAGTTCACAGGCAGTTGGACAGATGCAAAGAGTCATGGCTTGCTTGGAAAAACTCCTCAGGATCCAAGTGTACATCAGTGATTCAGGCTGTTGGATGGCGTGTAGGACAGATGACTTGCTTCATGTCACTTACCTTTGGCTTTACACTCGCAGAGGTGGGAGGACAGTGGAACACCTTGGGCTAATTCCAGTTCATTTCAACCCCCTGTGTATGTGGCAGTTGAGTAGTTATGTTCGTCTTAATATGACTAAGCAGCAGTCTCAGTTCAGTTCCTCACCACATAACTGAAGAGGGCAGCAGAGCCTTCCCTGAGGTTGTGCAGTCTATTTTAGTCACATTATTTGTAATAGAGATCTCATTTGCTGCTTTGTTATTATCATCATTATCTGCTAAATGCCACCTTCCTCTTTTCCCTGGTGTAGGATTAGAGGACCTGTGCTCTGTTACAATCGCTTTTTCCTGTTTGAAGTGTAATTATTTCTACTCTCACCTGGTTTTAGGTGATGGAAGGAGAGACACTGTGATGGGCCCATGGACTTGCAATGTGAACTCGTGACAGCAGGTACTTGTATCAGGTCCCGGTGGTCTGAGGTACCTGGGTAAGGCTTGGGTGCTGTGTGTTTGTTGGCCATGGTTTTCTCTGGTGTCAATGTATTAATTTCAGTGTTCACAGAAATGTTTGTCTTTATTTATAGCCTATCCAAGAGCTGGGCTGCAGCAGACAAGGTAAGAGCTTGGGAAGGTGGGGATATGAGAGCCAAGCCCTCAGTAGTTAATCTGGCCTGGTTCTTTCTCATCTAATCCCTCAAGTTTTATGGACAGATGTTGGATTGATCAAGTGGCTGCTGAAACCATAGCAAAATGGCAAGAAATGGGGCCTTTCCAGCCCTGACCGTTCTCGGGGTCTATGGTTTTAGCATTGGAGAGGCAAAGAGACCGGTTTGAGACTTAGATCTTTAACCCTTCCTGAAGTGTTGCTTCTTTCTGTCCTGTGAGTTGCAGCCCCAGATGAAAGTCACCCATCTGTTCAGGGAGCTGGTACCTCGGTGTCTGCATTGAGAATCACTGTGTGTGTAGTGCTTGTTGCTAGAAACCATTGAGTTGCTTGGGCTCATCCCTTTGCTGTGAGTTCAGCTGAGTGTTGCTCTCTGCTGTATGGGGGGAGGACACTGCTGGTTGTTACCAGCTGTGCTTTAAAGACAGGAATTCCTGTTGCTGGTAAAGTTTAGGTCACATCTCTTCTGAAATCACTGTCTTTATTCTCTGGTTTGGGTTATGAAGGCCTTGCCTGTGGCTCTTGTTTCAACAGGTAAGTCTGGATTGCTTCCTTAGGTAACCAAGCAGACAGTCTCAGTTAGGCTTTGCTAGGTAGAACTGTGTGTAGAGTGCAAAGTTTTATTGTTTATGAATGAAAACAGGTAATGTAAAACCTGAAACCTAGCTTACCTTGAATTAAAGCAAATAAAATCTTAGGAGATGCAGTATCTTAATGGCACAGCTTGGAAGAATGATGTAGGGATTCCCGAGCACGAGTCTTGTTTTAATGGCCATTACGTCTCTGCTCTTGCAGCTCAACACACCGGGGATGAGCTGTCCTCGAGAAGAACCCCTGCATCTGCCTCTCATGGCAAGTGGTCCAGGCAGTGACATGCCCATGTTAGCAGTTCCAGGTGGGTGTGTTACGTGTATTTGAAGTCTTCTCTCTTGTCCTCTGCAGTGTACTAGAACCTACACGTGCTCTATATAACTCGTTTCCTACCCGCTCCCCTTGTAACGTCCAGTTTTCCTAATAAACATCTTTTGAAGTCATTGCTTTGTGCCTGTTTTCCAAGGGTCTGAGTGTTCTCGTGTGTTGCTTGTCCTCAGCGATGTATTCCCTTTGGATCATGCAGGGAAGAGGAGAGCAGAAAGTCATAATGGCTCCCCTTGGGTGGGAGCTTTAAACTGCCAGGTCAAAATACAAGACCTTTTGTAATCGTGTCTGTGTTCTGAGTATTCTCTTGGAGCATCCGGATGCCCCAGAGCAGAGGGAAAACCGTTTTGAGCAAATTGAAGAAACTTCTCGTGAAGCAGAATTAATTCTGATTGACTGGAGAGCGATGAGGAACCAAATTGGAAGTTTGTGACGTGATTTGATCCCCGTGAGGAGCCAGGGCCTGCAGGAAAGTTCAGCCCTATGAAGTGAAGAGTTACCTTGCACCTCCACGGGCACCAAGGCTTTGCCTTCATCCTGGGTGGGTTTTGTTTCGAAGGAGGACTGAGCAGAGAGCAGAATGCACCCAGTGGTCGTTGATGTGCAGCTCCTCGCTGTGTTGGCAGTTCACATTGCTGCCGGGGGGAGGTGGCCTGTGTGCCAGCAAGAGGTGACAATCTCTGTGTGTATGTGTGTATTTACTTCAAGATCCCTTTCTTCTCTAGAAGCTCTCCGGCGTGTCGTGTTGTAGCTCAGTTTGGCTTTGTTCTCATCTCAGCTGTGCAGACATTACCAGAAACACTCAGACACTCTTTTCCGTGCTCGATGCTTTTCACATACAACGTTGTGCTTGTCTTGCTGAGCAGCAGGAATGAACAGGCCATACAAACGGCTACTGCCGCAGCAATAAGTTCAGGAGCTGGCACGAGATGATTTTGGAGCCTTGACCAATGAGGATTACAGTTAATCCTCTAGCAAACATCTTCAGCACGTTCCAGGCCATCCCAAAGTTGTGCCGTTTGCCTCGGCAATAACCCTCTTCAAACAAGCACAACCACCTCCAGTACCTTGATGGGGTACATCCCAGTGTTGGTGCTGTCTGTGCAGCACTGCTGCGGTGGGCTGGCAGGCAGCTTGCTCCCTGGGGAGAGGATGCTGTGATGTTGGATGCAGTAAAAATTCAGTGAATATCTCTTAGTAGGGGAAAAAAAATTAGGTTAGATCTTGTAGCTTTACCATCCTTGGAGTAAAGCTTATTGCTTCCATGGGGCGAGAGGTCTGGCCTGGAGGAACCATGGGCTGCTTGCAGATGAGGAGCCATCCACTGCCCTTTGAATCCACCAGGACATGAATAAACCTGGTTTATATCTGGTTTGATTGTGCGAATTCCTGCTTCTTGTGAAGGCATCTGTGAAGTGGAAGGAAATCTCGTGTCTAAGTTGTATTTTGGGGAAGGGAGAGGGCAAAGAGCAATGGCATAGTTTGGGTTGGAAGGGACCTTAAAGCTCACCCAGTTCCAACCCCTGCCATGGGCAGGGACCCCTTCCACTAGAGCAGCTTGCTCCAAGCCCCTGTGTCCAGCCTGGCCAGGGATGCAGGCTTCCTCTCGGCTGCAGGACATCAGTGGTGTTGCTCCGATGCTCTGTGAACTGTAGGTGGCAGGGATGCTCCAGCCTCGCAGCATCTCTATAGCCCTTCATGGGGAAGTTTGAGCAGTGAGTTGTTATCTGATGTATCAGACACAGTTCCACAGGGGGAGCAGGGATTAAAGGAGATGGATTCAGTCATTTTAACCATCCTATTGTTCTATTTATAGTGAGTTCCTGGTTCTTGGACAAGGTGTGAAGACTCTGTGGGCTTTAGTTCTTCCACAAAAGCAGCATTTCTCCACAATGTGACTTCCTCTGCTGTGCCAAAAGCAGAATGAGGAACAGTTTAAGGACCTTGTTAATGTTTGCTTCTCCTTTCAGCAGACCACCCTTTACTCTAACTCTGTGATACATCTGTTCTCACTTCTTTCTACTCATCCGCGAACCTTCAACCTCCACAGAATCTGCATTTCCTCATCAGGAAAGCAAATAAGCGAGCCAAGGTAGACCTAATATCCTGCTGCTTCTAAGAGCCATGTCATTCCTTTGTGCATGTGTCTTCTTTTTAGCCCAGCAGTGGTTACTGTACGTGCGAGAAGGACCTGTTACCGTGAAGCTGCTTCACAACCTGATACTTAAAGAGTGGGCACAGGTTAATAATGTAAGTAAGGGGCTACAAGGAACCTGCAGAGGGGCTTTGGCCAAGGGCCTGTAGGGCCAGGCCAAGGGGAATGGCTTTAACCTGCCCGAGGGGAGACTGAGATGAGCTCTTAGGCAGAAGCTCTTCCCTGTGAGGGTGCTGAGGCGCTGGCCCAGGGTGCCCAGAGAAGCTGTGGCTGCCCCATCCCTGGCAGTGTTCAAGGCCAGGTTGGACACAGGGGCTTGGAGCAAGCTGCTCTAGTGAAGGTGTCCCTGCCTGTGGCAGGGGCCTGGAACTGGATGAGCTTTAAGGTCCCTTCAACCCAAACCATTCCATGATTCCCACAGAGGAATAGCTCACATCAGGTACCGTTCTAAAGGTCTGACTGTGTCTAAGTAAACGTGGTTTTATCTTGGCCACTATAGCCTGGCAGAATTAAAAGTCATGTTGAAGAGCCCTGGGTTGATGTTCCTGCTTGGACACATACGAAGGAGCATTTGGTTTGTATAAAGCATTGCTTCTCAGGAATAAGGGCTGCAGGATTCGATTCAAAGTGCTTGATCTTTGGAAAGCAGTCTGAGGTTTGCTGAAGGTGCCGTATTCAGGCATAAAAACACAGAATGAGGAATACAGAAGTGTATTTATAGTAAGAATAATGACAATTTACAGGGTGAAGATCGTTGCAGTGCTCCCAGCCTAGGAGCTCTGTATTGAACAGAGTGATTGAATGGTTGGCTTTTCAAAAGAGAGAGAAAAAACCCCCTCCAACCAGCTGAATAATGCAGACCAAGTCCTTGCTCTGGTGAGAAGCCAGGCCTGTGTTTGGAAAATTCCATGGGCTTTTGGGTTAAGCAGTGAACAAATGGATTTGCTCTTTGCAGCGGCTTGGATTTGCTACTGGAACCAGTTGGCTGGTTCCAGTCATAGAGCAAGAACCTGGGGGGCAGAAGCGGTGGGCCCTGCCTCTGCCTCTGCAGCCTTGGCGAACGCGCTGCCTCATTTGTGCCTTGGCTTTCCCATCTCTCAGCCGGGGCGAAGGAGCTCATCCAAGCTCCCAAACTGCCTGCAGTGATTAACAGAGCGTTGCCCCAGCCCCTCGAGAGGATGAGGGTCCACGAGCACGTGCTTCACCCGCTGCCGAGCCCCCTGCCCGTGCCATTCACCAGCCCCACGTTCCTGAAGCCACCTGGGGGCACCTCATTGGCAAGGGGCTGATTTGCAGAGGTTCGCTGATGAAGAACAACGCAATGGGAGTGTTTTCCTGCTGGGCTGTGTGAAACCAGCGGCATCACGGGGCTCCCTCCCACGGGGATGCTCTCATTCGGCTTGGCCGCTTTCACCAGCTCCCATGAAGAGGCAGGTGGGGAATGATCAGGGTTAGTGCGTGCAGTGGATGGTCTCTGGGGGTGCAGGGCTGCTCCTCATCCTGCTGGATCCGGCTTCCTTCGGAAAGCAGCGGTCGGAATTCCTTGGGGCAATAGCTGCACATCCTCACTGGGGTTGCCACCAGTATCCCTAAGCCCCGGATATGATTTGGCTCGGGACTCGCAGCAGTTCAGCTTCTGAAGCCCCATCCATCAGCATTAGATCCCCTTGGGCAATGCTGTGGTGGGTGAGTGAAAGGACTTTGCCTTGGACTCCATCCCTCCCCGGAGCAGAGGAAGCCTGTGCTGACAGGACAGGAAGCTCTCAGGAGCCACAAGGACCTGGAACTCGCTTCTCGCCTTCCTGTGGGCCTTCCCCAAGGCTCAGCCCGGCTGTTTAAAGGCTATTAATAGCATTAAAACCACGGACGGGTTTGTGTCTTCCTGCTGCTGTCAACGACGTCGTTTCTTCAGCTGAGACCTTCTGGTTGTGTTTATTCCAAGCAGTCAGAGATGGGCCCGGGGATGCGGTGGTAATGGCAGCGCAGGGACCTGTGCGAGCTAACGGGCAGCCAAGCAGGGATTTCACTTTAGAGAAGGCTCTTGGGTCTCCAGTGCAAAACAAAGGGCTCCAAACCGGGGCAGGCTTTAGCACTGGGAAGGGTTTTGTTTGTGCAGCAGAAAGCAGCCACTTCCTCCTTGCTGTGGCTGATGGTTCCCGTGTCCGCCCTGTCCCCATCGCTCATCCTGCTGTACCTTCTGCATGGCGATGGCCCAGCTGGGGAATGAGCTCAATCATAGAATCACAGAATGGTTCGGGTTGGAAAGGACCTTAAGATCACCCAGTTCCAACCCCCTGCCATGGGCAGGGACACCTCACACTAAACCATGGCACCCAAGGCTCTGTCCAGCCTGGCCTTGAACACTGCCAGGGATGGAGCATTCACAGCTTCCCTGGGCAACCCATTCCAGTGCCTCAGCACCCTCACAGGAAAGAATTTCCTCCTTATATCCAATCTAAACTTCCCCTGTTTCAGTTTGAACCCGTTACCCCTCGTCCTGTCACTGCAGTCCCTAATGAAGAGCCCCTCCGCAGCATCCCCATAGTCCCCTTCAGACACTGGAAGCTGCTCTGAGGTCTCCACGCAGCTTCTCTTCTCCAGGCTGAACAGCCCCAGTGTTCTCAGCCTGGCTCCATACAGGAGGTGCTCCAGCCCCTGATCATCCTCGTGGGCTCCTCTGCACTTGTTCCAACAGTTCCGTGTCCTTTTTGTGTTGAGGACACCAGAACTGCACACAGTGCTGCAAGTAGGGGCTCACAAGAGCAGAGTCGAGGGACAGGATCCCCTCCTTAATGCAGAAAGCAAAAGGAATAAAATCCCCCATTTTTGTTTTAGTTCTTGTTAGGTTTTATTGCAGTCAGTTTCTAACCTGCATCTCAGGCACAGAAACAAGAGCGATGGCAAGAAGGTGACAAGAGCTGCTGCTATTGAAACCAATGCTCGCAAAACTGGAGGCCAACC